TACAAACTTGCAGAGGAGGATTCCGGCCTTATGGCTGTTTATGTGCAAGACTCAGGTGAGGTGATGGTGAGCATTTTAGGAGGGGGGAAGATTTTGTGTGTAGAGGCCCAGGGGCAATACAGCTTGAAGGGAGCGAAATTGGCTAAGGTTTTTCAGAATATCAGCTAATGGGGTAGATCTTGGAATTTCAGTTTTGTAAGGAAGCCAGAACTTAACAGAGACGGTGGTTCTTTTGGTTGAGAAGTTCCCAATTTGGCAGTGCTGTCAGGGCTTGCTCACCGTTGATTACAGTTGGGCCTTAAAAGGCATGGGCTTGGGTGAGTCTCCTTACTCTTAGAGAATGTTCTGTTTCGCATCTTGCTATAATCCGTCAGCTGTTCCTGGTAACACCTGCAAATTCTGCTCATGTGTTTAGGGTTGAGAATTACATATATCATGCTGCGTGTTGCAAGGGTGAAACCATATGGAAGTTCCAAACTTCACTAGGTGGAGCATAGAAGCAACTTGCAGAATAATAGTGCCTGTGGCACTCTATGTAGCCGATTAACAGCTGAAGCTTTCCTTGAATCAGCTGAGAGGGGCGAGTATGTATTGTGATGACACTGAACGCACGTCTCCTGCAGCCCAATGGGGCACCTGTTGCATTCCAAAAGTAGGACAGCCCACCAGCTTTTAGACAAAGAGGCTTTGTAATGAGTGTCTGTGCATTTATGTCTGTACAGTGAGAGAAGCTAACCAGTCTCTGTGCATGTTCCCACCATCTTCAGATGCTTCGTTGCAAGTGGACACAACCTAGAGTTATGAAAGTGGGCAATCTGTGGCCCAACCCAAGCTGTTGCTGGGCTACAACCTGCATCATCCATGACCATTGGCATTGCCAGCTAGGGATGATGGGAGTTGGAGTCGATAACAACAGCTGGAGGACTACAACCTCCCTCTCCACCTCTGTGTAGCGGGAGCTCTCTCTTTATGCTCTAGTGGCCCAGTGCCAGGCAAAATAGGCATGACACTACTCTTGATCTCCAAGGCTCGGCTCAAGTTTACATCCTAAAATTCTGAATATAACAGGCTGTAGCCTTAAACAGATTAGAGCTAGGACAGAGCCCTTTTCCTAGGAGCAGAGAATCTAAAAAAAATCATTCCCACTTTAGTGCCCATTCCACAGGGTAAACCAAATAAAACTTTGGTGTATTGAGGCAGAAAAGCCAAGGGGGAAAAAATGGCAGCTGCTGCACATAGTTCGGCTTGTCTTGGTCCCCCATTTAAGCCGCCGTTGCCTTTGCTTAGTGGCCATTAGGCTCGGGTGCTCAGAAAGTGAAGTTTCCTTGCTCTGAATGTTTTAACTCTTCCCCCCTTCCCTGTGTGAACTTCTTCCAGGCTCGTCTCTACAGTCCGTCATCTGCTCCAATGACTCCCTCTTCTACTTTGTGTTCTTTTACCCCTTCCCCATCTTCGGCATCCTCATCATCACCATATTGCTGGTGCGATTCAAAAGCAGGAATTCCAGCAAGAATTCCGAAGGCAAGAACGGAGTCCCCTTGCTGTGGATCAAAGAGCCACACCTGAACTACTCGCCTACTTGCCTGGAGCCTCCTGTCCTCAGCATCCACCCAGGAACTATAGATTAAAAGTGAGAGACCCACAGAGAGGTGAAGATGCACCTGGAACCCAAAGGAAGTGTTTTTGTTGTCTTTTTATTCAACCTTTGTACTTTTTTGGATCCCAACTCAGCTCCACCATGAGGTCCCTCTGAACTTCTGGGACTGGAAGAACTCAGGCACCCCAGAATGCTTGTGAAGACCCAGCCCAACTGCAAAGGGAGATGGAAGGTCCATGTGTTCACTGTATATAGTGGTTTTTTCTAACTGGGCTTTCCCCCTCTATCAGTTCTCATCGGTTGTCCTTTGGCCTGTAATTCTGTTGCTCAAAGACACACAATATTCTTCTTGTATTATTATGCAGAGGACAATCCCCAGAGTGCATTGATTTTGTTGGAGCTCTTGTTGTGCCAAAGCTGGGCGCGTTGTTTTTTGAGGAAGCTTGTTTTATCCAATGGGCTGGGTTTGACAGAACTTGAGCCTTGGTATTGGGAGAGGGCCAGAAAGGACTCAATGGGCTGCCTATTGCTCTGGGAGAGAATAGCACCAAAACTGCTCCTATAGTCCAAGCAGCAAGCAGTTCTTCCAGGGCAGAGAGCCTCTGCCACCTCCCTCCGTCTCCAGGTGTTTCTGATTTGTTTTAGGGACGGAAAATGCATATAAGGTTGTTTTGCCATTGGCACCACAACTGAATTGCTTGTGCCACTTGCAATCCAGCAACGGCCTGTGTGTGTATGTGTCACTGAGGTACAGCCCATGAGCCTTGATTCCCCCCAGTACTGCTGCCTATACAGAGTTCTGTTTACTAGAAAGGCATTTGGTTGCCCTCTGGGTTTTATTAAACCCCACTGCCATGCCTCTGGAGACTGCAGGGGTGGAAACCTGAACTTTTAAAAGACATTCAAACTGACCAAAGTAATGATTTAGGAAGTGGGGAGGTGGCTGCCTCTTTAAGTGGGCCTGGCTCCGACTTGGTTCTGGGATACCGAAACACAGGGCAGAGAATGTGTGGACACGTTGACCCAAGTTTTACTTCCAGTTGCACTAACAACCCCAAGGAATTTTCACCAGGCAAGCAAGGGCCTCTGAATAGCCTCCTCTCTCTCTCGTTATGTGTGTGTGCCATTTTGCTTCTTCAGCTTTATTTCTCCAGGTGCAACACCCTTCACCACCATTCCTCACAGCCCTGCAGAAGCCACAATAAGTGGACTTCAAGGACACGCTGTGGCCAAAAAACAAAACCATCCCTGCTGTTCTTTCTGTGAAAGACATGGTGTTAACAATGTTGGGGCTCAGTAAAGGCAGGGTGCCTACTTTCTGCCAGAGTAAGCCAGCTGTGCTCCTCCTCTGCTGTTTTGGAAATGCTTGTTATACCTGGTGGACCAGCACTCTTACATCCCCTCGTTCTGGTCTCTAGGATAAGGGGGGAAAGTTGTGCTTTCTAGAAAATGGCTGTTTTGCTGTCTTCCTAAAAGTCTTCCTGGCAGCTAGTTGCAACCTTTTTCATGAGGCAACCGAATCTACGCAAGGGCACATGCTGCCAGCCACACATGCCAGTCTGCTTAGCTGCTTTGGCAGGAGGAGGCTGACGGGGCGGGCGGGCAGCAGAGCGCGTTCTTCCCGTGGAGTGGCATCGTAAATTTTGATTGCCCCTATCAGAGCATCTTGTGGAGATAAACGCATTTGCTTTAATTAATGGTGCTTTGCGAGTGGTATGTGTCCACGCAGAGGTTTTATGTCACCCATGTGTTCCGCCAGGCGGCTGGTTGCACATGTTCACCTCACTTACTCTCTGGGTAAACTTGCTGTATTTACCCAAGCTTTAATGCTTCTTCAAAAATCTTCTTTCCTTCGCAAAGGAGGGCTTTGTAGCATTCCAGTAAAGCATTCAGAATGTTCCCCGGACCAAATCTGCCTCTGCAAACTATTACTCCTAGATTAAAAACCCCTCCATGTGTGTAACTTGAGAACGCACACACCCTTCCACCCTCCTTGCCTTCCTAGTGTATTCAGAAGGGAGGAAACAAAAAAAGTGAATGGGAATGAAGAGCAAAGCAGAAAGAGAGCCCCTAGGTTGTGTCTGTTGTTTTATAAATGTAAAATGTCCTGTACATATACTGCTTCGGGGCAGGAGCTCTAACTCAATTCAGCTCTTAAAAAGGAAACAAGTCAGCAAGATGATTTCCTGCCCTAAAGAACATTGCTCTTTATCTTCGCGTTGAAAAATCTGTTGTACTGACCTAGTAGCATCAATGCTTCTCTATATAACCAGCAGTCCTTCCCTTCCCCTCCCAGCTCCTTCAGTCTACGGAAAGCTGTCCCACAGCGGCCTCCAGCGGCCAGTCATTCCAGTCTGTGGCTGTGGACTCTTGGAAAATATGCAGGTGTTTTATCAAAGCCAGTAGACACAAGTGGGAGGACTGTCCCTTTAGCAGCAACGATGATCACAGATTACCTTGCAGAGGACTTGTCCATTACGCTGCCAAGTTGCTGCCCAGTTTTAGGATCTCGTTTCTTTTCAAAACGTTGGACACTGCCTATAAGAAGCTTTATGGACAACTTTTTCTCTGCCAATAAACCCAGAGGAAAAGGAACAAGCTACCTTTGCATGATGTGGGGAAACAGTGTGGGATTTTTATTATTATTATTATTATTAAAGAACTTTGTACCATGTTGCACTAAATGTTTTATACATTACACGAGAGAGCTGTAGTAAACTGTGTTGAAAGTGTGACTTCAATGTCCTGTGTTGATGGCTTCGAGGCGCTGCTACCAGAGCTTCCCTCCTCTTCTCCCTGTTGCTGCCACCCAGCTGTCAAAAGGACGACTCCCTACCAGTGCCTGCAATGTCAAATTGTATGCTTAAATTGTCGCAGGCCCCGAGGTTCTTGCTCTAGCCATGCACTTGGCTCAGCTGCTACGCATGGGAGCGATTCCTCATGAATGAGCAGCTGTCACATGCACTGCCAGTGCCAGCACTTGGACCAGTGCCTAGCCCCAGGCGCTGCCAAGTGGCCTAAGATGAGAGCCACCTGCAGTGCTGGAGGGTGGGTTTCATTAGCCTGCCCTTCCCCTATTGTGCTGAAAGCTAATGCTGTGGACACCCGGTTTTGCTTGGGATTAGAAGTGCCTGGCAAGTACTTAGAAGGACAACCTCCCCAAAGCCAGCAAAACAGATTACTTGGGAGAGAGGAGGAGGAGGAGGAGACTATGATGATGATGGTCCATAGCCAAGCTTTCATCATTTTCAGTAACTTTCATTATTTTCCCATGAGAGGCAATCTTAAACTTTCTTTTGTTTAATGTTTCAAAAGTATTAAAATGGATCCCTTTTCCTTCCAAAAAGGCAACAGATAATTACCACAAGAATACAGAGAGCAAAAATAAGTACTTAAACAGCAACTCCTCCTTATCTGCCTGATGTCTTACAGTTCAATAGTAATATTTAACATGTGCGTAGCAATTTCAATTCTTCAGAACACTACATGTTAATCTAGTAACCTCTGCAAGAATCCTGTATGGGAATTTTCACAAACCTGGGGCCCTCCAGATGTTTTGGCCTACAATTCCCATCAGCCTCAGCCAAACCAAACATCTGGAGGGCTTCCATAAGGTATGTCAGTATTCTTATTGCCCATCATGCAGATGAGGGGACTGGAGCAGGAAGAGGGTGGCTTGCCTAAGGCCTCCTACTGAGTTCATGGCAGAGGTGAGATTTGAAATGGGGACTTTTGGATTTCTGCTGCTTTTCGCCTGCAAAGGATCATTTGAGTTTTTATATTACACATTTTCCATTTCTGGACCCTGTCTAATAGAGTCTTAGAAATTAATGTTATGAGGAAGAGGTTAAAAATTCATAGAAAACTCCCCTTAGGAACAGTGCTTACAAGTTCAATGTTCTTTGGGTTCTATTCTTGTCTTCAAGTGCAACAACTACTCTGGAGAAATCCACATGTCCTAAAGCCATTCTAATTCAGATGAAGGTCTTCCATAAGTGGCAGGGATAGGGGGAATTCTGCCCTTCCAGATACTGTTGCTGATTGATTGTATTCTTCACCACTCTATATTTATTTATTTACTTACTTACTTACTTACTTACTAACTATTTATTTAATTATTTACTGGATTTATACTGCACACATTTTTCTCCAAGGAGTTCAGTGTGGCGTGTATGGTTCTCTCACTCATTTAACCCCCACAATAACCCTGTGAGGTAGGTTAGGCTGTGAGGAAGAGACTGGCCCAAGGTCGCCAAGTGGAGATTGGAACCCTGGTCTCCCAGGTCCTAATCTGACACTCTTTACTGTAATGAATAATTTTTATTTTTTATTAGTTTTCATCTAATCTGACACGCTTAACTTCCATATCACATGAACGGTCAGAAAAGAAATTTCGCAAAGTGACTTAATAAAAAGCATATAAAACCAGCTGAAAGGCAAACTGCAAACTATGTCTGATACACTTAACATCCAAAGTCCTAGGTAAATAAAAAATTATCTTAGCCTTGCACCTAAAAACTGACAGCGGTGGGGCCAGGCGTCTAACCCTCGGGAGAAGATTCCACAGACTGGTAACTGGACTCCAAATCCCATCAGCCTCAGCCAGCACAGCCAATGGCCAGGATGATGGGAGCTGGAGTCCAGCAACATTTGGAGGGCCACAGGTTCCCCACCTCTGCCTTAGCTAATCAGATCTATCGACCCATCACTTAGAAGGCACAGTTTCCACTTTGAAGTTTGATGCCTCAACCCTTACTGAAAAGCCTTATACCAGCTTTAGAGACAGAGGCACATTGTGACTATGGCAACTTTTTGGTAGGGTCTAGCACACAACTAGCACGAAATAATACCCGTATTACTGGTGAAAGATGTGCCCGTAGATTCCCAATCTTGAAAATGTTCCACTCCCAATCAAGATCTAAGGAAAAACATTTGTAGCCTACAAAGTACAGTGGTACCTCAGGTTAAGAACTTAATTCGTTCTAGAGGTCCGTTCTTAACCTGAAACTGTTCTTAACCTGAGGTACCACTTTAGCTAATGGGGCCTCCTGCTGCTGCCGTACCGCACAATTTCTGTTCTCATCCTGAAGCAAAGTTCTTAACCCGAAGTACTATTTCTGGGTTAGCAGAATCTGTAACCTGAAGCATCTGTAACCCGAGGTACCACCGTATAGAATTTGACAGCAAAGTTGTGTCTGATACTAAACACTCAAAGTCAAAGACCTGCGAAAACGCCACCCAAATATCTTTGTTCATGACAAATTTTAGAAATAATGGCCACAACTAGTTGCTGTGATATCCCCCCACCCCCGCTACCTACTGTACTTTTTGCTCCATAGGACGCACTTTTTCCCTCTTAAAATCTAAGGGGAAATGTCTGTGCGTCTTATGGAGTGAATGTGTGGTCCATGGGGCTGGGGGGGGGGTGGGCTTCCCCCGCCAGCCCCGACCTGCTCTTTGGGGGCTGGGGATGGGGGAAAGCCGGGCTCCCCCCACCGCCAGCCCCACAACCCCAGGGAGCAGGTCGAAAGGAACCCGAAGCCTCCCGAGCGCAGCAGGAACTCCCGCTGCGCTCCGGAGGCTTCGGGTTGCCTTCACTGAAGGCGACTGAATGCACCTTGAATGCACTGAACACACCTTGTTTTAGAGGGGGAGAACAAGGGGGAAAAATCTCCCCCTCTCTGCGCAGCACCTCCTGCCGCTTCGCTGAAGGGGCGCTGCGCAGAAAGGGGGAGATTTTTTTTTCTTGTTCTCCCCCTCTAAAACAAGGTGCGTCCTACAGAGCGAAAAATACGGTAACTTTTGTGTTGTGCCACTCACATTTACACCACTGTCTCATAGGTTTCTCGAGTTTATTGGCCCGCACTAGTATTTCACTGATAATTTGCATCCACGCAGACTTTACACTCAGTGTTAATGCATCAAGAAAGAGCTTGTAAGAGTAGGCCTTTTATTTTGCTATATTTAAATCTCTTTACTTCCTGCACTATATGCTTGGCAAGGATGAACAGCACCAGAGGCTATTAGTTAGCAACTTCCAGTTCTCTGCAGGGGATGTCTTGCCCTGCAAGTGTGACTTCACTGCTCTGCAGTCAAGCTCAGGTGATAGAGTTTCCTCGCTACTTTCTCCAATCGGTCTCTATACTCAATTTCCTTATAGTTATTCGCATTGATGCCTTTGAAGCCGTGCATTGCCCCCCACCAGCATGCAGCCATGACCGCAGTGGAGTCACTGTCCCCACCATGGAAGAAACCCCTGTGAGCCAATTCAATCCAGTTCTCAGCACCAAGGATGGCGTCATAAGCAATCATGGGAGCATCATGCCCACTTGAACCTCCCCAGCCAGAGTAGCTCAAGGACGTGTAGAATTCATCTCTCTCTTTCACACCATACACTTCGGGGAAGGATGGAGGAGATTTCCCATCTGAAATGCCTCTAGTTTCCAGGTACTTCTTCCACTGCCTTTCAAAGTAGTTCCTAAGAAACAGAAACCCATGGGAAGGTATGTAAATATCTAGGATTTCACATTAAGACTGTATTTGTATATGCCTTGTATGAATATAAAAATAAACCCAGTATAAACTTAGAAAGTCTTAACATCCAGCACATTTTGAGACATCTGCAGATCAGGAAATGCTTTCTCTGTTGTAGTACATATGTACTTCAGGGTCAATGTTTCAATATTATACAGCAGGGTTTCAAATACTTGGGTCTCCAGATGTTTTTGGACTACAATTGCCATCATCCCTGACCACTGGTCCTGCTAGCTAGGGATAAGGGGAATTGTAGTTTGAAAACAGCTGGAAACCCAGGTTTGGGGAATCCTGTTCCAGGGTAATAAGCAGCATCCATTTCCTTCCCCTCTATCTTGGTCACCAGCACAAGGAACATTACTATTATTTTTTGATTTTATATACCATCCTATACCCGGAGATCTCAGGGCAGTTCACAGAATAAAATCCAAATATAAAACCACAAAATACATAATCAAAATAAAACAAACCAATAGCTTTCCCCTCCCAACCCCCCACCAATTTTTTTTAAGGGCATAGGATGCAAATTAGATCAACCAAAGACCTGGTTAAAAAGGAAAATTTTCACCTGGCGCCTAAAGATGTATAATGAAGGCGCCAGGAGAACTTCCCTGGGGAGAGCATTCCACAGACGGGGAGTCACTGCAGAGAAGGCCCATTCTTGTGTTGCCACCCTCAGGACTTTCCGAGGAGGAGGTACACTTCATACTTTCTCAACATCATATCGGTAACTATTTCAATCTATCAGATGGCTTTTAGAACCTTCTGACTTCCAAAATGTGTATTACTTACCAGCGCTGCAAGTTCTTCTCCACAAAGGAACCTGCCTTCTGGATATGGACTTTTGCCATTGGTAGCACCTCCATGAGCCCTTTCCCCCACTCCTGGAGTGGCTTGCGATTTATGGCATAAGAAGTGAAGAGAGCAGAAGCCAGGGATCCAAGGTAGCCAGTAGGGTTGTGGTGAGTCATCCGACCACTCTCTATGCTTACTGCGATCAAGTTTTCCAGCTCTTCTGGGTGACGAAACCTCAGTCCAATGCACATTGACCGCATGGCTGCACCACACCCTCCTCCTGTTTCAGAGAAGTCGGGTATCCAGCTATCCGGCTTGTCTGGATCCAATCTCAAGGCGTATGCCATGCAGGTATCACCTAAGAAGGGTGGGAAAGGTGGGAAACTTGTACATCTGCCCTGATTGTTCATTTGCATCTCAGGCTGACCTGAAGTTAAGCATCCTCAACCTGTATGGTCTACACACAAGCACCAGGTAACAATTTTAATGCTTTCGATCAATAAGCACTGATTTCCTGAGGTTTTAATAGGACTATCATTATGAATAACAAGATTTAATAACACTAACAACTATATGTATTAATACTGCTGTTTATCATTATTTCTTATTAATAATATTTATTACTAGTAATCTCTCATAAGGTTCCAGAGTGAGTTCTAAATGTGAACCCCAGCCAGTAATCTGGTTGCTGCTTTTTTTGGACCAGTCACAGTTTCTGAATCTCTTGAGGGCAGCACCAGCACTGCAACAATCCAGTCTGAAAGTTACCAGAGCAGGGAGTCACCCTCCCTATGACACAGCCAATACCGCACCCTCCAGGTGTTGTTGGACTACAGATCCCATTATTCCTGGCCACAGGTCATCCTGGCTGGGGCTGATGGGAGTTGTGGTCTAACGTAATCAGGAGGGCACCCTGTTGGCTACCCCTGAAACAGATCTTGGGTTTGGCAGAAGGTGGTCCTTCCATTTTGAGCTGAGCAGGAGCAGGGGGTGTTTTTTATTCCATAAATCTCTAGAGATCCCAATCAATGATGAATATTGGGAGGGGGGGTGGAAGGTTCCATCAAGGACCTCTGCCAAATTGCTATCAAGCAAAAAATTATGTCCCCTTTCTCCCCAGCCCATCTACATGCAAACAAGTGCACTGTGGAAGTAGAAAAGAGGTGACAAGTGTACCCTTACTCCATACTAGGAGGGAATTGCATGGTGACAGCATGTTATAACTAGGAAACTCCCACAGCTCAGACATGTGAAACTGGCTGGGGTGTCTCCCAAGATCAGCTCATGTTCACAGAACAGACTCTTAAATCAACCCTTCTGATCAGACAGGACTCTTCTTAGCATTCTTGAATTGCATCACCCAAGAGTTCATAGATACCAGATGCCCATCTTTAAAGCTGCCGCAGCTTTAAAGTTGGATTTTTTTTTATGTATTGGCCTGCAGTTATTTAGGATATTCAATATGTACCATTAGGAAATTAGCATCGTATCTAAACACACACAAGCTCTAAATGAAGTGAACTACATTCTTCCCAGCTACCTATAGACAATCTTTTCATCTGCTGTACAATCTTAAAAGCATTTCTTATGCTCCATTTGCATACCATGGTTCATAAGGAAAACAGATCCTTATATGTGTACCCAGAAATTAAGTCTTACAATACCCCACGGATGAGGCTTATTGTCATGTAAATATACATAGAATTGCAGCCTAAGTCAGCTTGCTGACTTTTTCCTATGTACATAAACATGTAAAGCTGTTGTCATGCTGCAGTTGCAGCACAACAACAGGTAGACAAGCAGGCAAGCAGTGTGGAGGGCAGGCAGCCCAGGCAAGCTGTTTTAAGGGGCAGAGGCGCTTCAGAAAGTAGTTTGGCCAATTGTTCTCTAAAGCGCTTATCCCTCTCTTTTAAAGGGGTTTGGGGGGGAGTGGTGGTTTGGGTGAGCTGTGAAGGGATAGTTGAGGGCAAAAGGGAGGAGTGGGTGGGCAAGGGGAAGGCAGATAGGTTGGGTTGGCAAGTGGGGCAACAGACCCTGGTAATATAACTATTATTCAAATTCTGATCATCAGCTGTGACTGCTTGTACAACTATGCTCTTATTGTCCCCATCTGGTTGCTCCACCAACTTCAGTTGACACATTTTATTGCCCGTGTCCAGGAGAGAGACCGTAGATCAGTGGCAGAGCACATATTTGCCTGCAGAAGAGCCCAGGTCCAATCCCTTCCATCTCCAGGTAGAGCTGGGAACAACACCAATCCCTGGAGAACTGTCAGTCAGTGGAAATGGTGGATAGCCAGGGTGGGTGCCCTGCAGCTGTTGTTAGACAACAGGTGTCCATGCTGACTGCAGCTGATGGGAGCAGCTAGAAAGCACCACTTTGGCTATTCCTGTTGTAGGCAGTACTAAGCAACATGGACCAATGGTCTTGACAGGCAGCCTTCGACATTGCAATTTTAGGTGCTTGCCAAAGGGATTTCAGGCTATCAGGAGTGCTATCACACAGCCTCCAGTCCCATAAGATATTTGTGGATTGTGCTAGCCTAGAGATTGGAGGATACACCAGGTCCCGCGCAGGTAGCAAGGTCTGAGTGACCGGCTGTTCTCAGCCTGGTACACAAACCTGAACCCATTGCTACCATTCTGGTGGAGGACATGTGCTGCTTCTGCAGCACTAAGCTGTGCCACCAGCAGGGCAAAGAAACTGATGTCTGGATTTTAGTTCCAAAATATGCAAATACAGTATGCATGCATGCATACAAACATGATACACTGATGCTGCTACATAAGCAACATCACAGCTTCCACTTTCTGGAAGTCTAAATATTTAAGGAAAGTGCTATATAAATGTCAAGTCATCAACATGATTCCACACATCAGCTCAATAATGAAAGTACAGCTGAGTAATAACAGGAGTCTAGTAGTTTCGTCACCATATTCACACTAAGACCAAGTGAATTAATTACAGCACCAAAATTAGAACAGGGGATTTCCCAACTTGTACCCTGTGCCTGGCATTATACTCTACGTTGTCTCAAATGTTCTCTTTGGTGACACTTTCATTCAAACTATTTTGTTTCTCTCATTCCCACTTTCAAATGCATTTTCTCACTGTATATATTTAAGGGTTCATATGATGTATTTTCTATCCTTTGTGTGTGTGCGTGCTCCTCGTTACACCATGAAATTTCCAAGACAATAGTAATGTGGCTTAACAAGGGCAGTGTCACAGCTAAGCTTGCAGATAACACTGTGGGGCGTGTGGGTGTCCATGTCCAGAACTGCCTTGTTGCACTGAAGCGCAAGTACATAAAACTTACTTTGTTGTTTTTTAAAAGTTCATTGGCGCATTCCAGGCTTCATTGAGCCTTCCAGTCAAATCAAGCCGTGGTGAGGTTGGCAAAGCAGCAGTGTCTTCCTGCTGAGAAAGCCTTTCCCAGGGACAGTGCAGGTAAGGGGATTCCCCCCCAAAGCCTTTTCAGGGGTGGGGCAGTGGGGAATCCCCTGAATTTCATCAGTCTCTAACAGGTTTGCAAATCATCTGACAGTTTCACAATCCTCTTTCCCAGCTCACTGTAGCAGGAAGCTCCACCCCTCGCAGTTTGGGGCTACAATGATCACACCAGTGAACATTTTCCTGAAGTTATTTGCTATGGTACTTTTGCTTTGGTGCAATCAGGAAGTTTTCAGGGGAAGAACTGCAGTTCAGTGGAGGAGCATATGCTTTGCATGCTGGGAAATACCTGTCTGGAACCATGGAAAGCCATCACCAGCTAGTCAAATAGATAAGACTAAGCTAGGTGGCAGCTTCCCAAGTGCAGGTAGGCAATAAATAAATACATTTAAAAGCCTAGCACAAGCTAGCAATGTAATAGCAGAAGAGACCTGGAACGGAAGAAATGCAAGCCCAGAGGCCCAGAAGTGCTCTGAAATTCAGGGGGGAAAAACCAAATCAGACATTAAAAGAAAGAATAATGGGAAATGCTGGAATGCAACATTTCAGCAGGAACATCACCAGGATTTTCCATGAAGTGAAGGAGTGGAAGTCGTCAGAAAACACCTAGTGCAGAAGCAACCCACTTTGCCCAGTGATTCCTTCTAACCTAGCTGGACTCAGGAAAAGCCCATTGCTTCTAAGAGAGACTATCACCCAAATGCAGTCAAAAGGCAAACTCTGAATTGTGTTTCAGGCTCCTGTGATGGGTTCACAGCATCCTCGTGCATCATAATATTCCTTTTGCAGAGCATATGGTACAACTTTGAATAGATAGATTCAGCCATCTTATTTTTTTATGAACAGATGTCCTATGCAAATCCCGTTTTGAGCTGCTTATCATCTCTGGCACACTTGGCTCTTATGTTGTTGAAAAGCTCAGAATCCACAGACTGGAGTGCATACAATCAATACTTCCCAAATTCCCCATTCCAGCCACTGGAAATGTAACACAGCCACACATGTAATCATCATCACAGGAGGGGAAAGTAACTGAAGAGAGATGGAAGAAAAAGGACGCACACCTCTTCCTTAAAGTGGTTCCTCAATCTTGGGATGAAAAAAGCAAACAAATAAATGCCAACTTGCCATGCAGCCCTACTCTTGTTTCCTAGCTCTCTGGCAGGAGCTAAATACTTTGAAATGAAAGGCCCAGATGAGCCCATGCTTCTCACTGCAAAGAAACAAAGTGGTTCTTTCTGAAGATATATAGGCCTTTTGCCAACAACGGACAATATGTAGCAGCCAGCATGTTTACTGAATTAGGAGATATCCATTTCACAGAATGGGAGTGAACTAAAATATACTAGATTCTAAGCAGAGTATATGTAGTGGGAAGGCTGGATGTTAACTCTAAGTCAGGGATGGAGGAATCTGTAACCTTAAAGATATTCTTGAACTACAATTCCCATCATCCCTGACAACTGGTCATACTGATCATGGCTGATAGAAGCTGCAGTCCAACATCTGGAGGATAACACACTCAATGTTTGTATTCTAAGTGGAAGAGCAAAGTGTCCTCCTGAAGATGGAAAGCTGAAGCAGAGGGAAAGTTGCTCATTGCACCGAGGTCCATTCCTATTGATATCAAAGTATGAGATGAGGTGAGCCAGAAATTGAGAGATTTGGCTACAGCCATGGGAATCACAGGTTCAAACCTCAGCAGAAATTTGAAGCTCATGTGGAAATAATGCAAGGGTGGGAAGCTTGCAGCCCTCTAGATTTCATACCAGCATGGCCAGTGGTCAGAGATGCTAACATCCTCTGGCAGGCCTGAAGGTTCCCACTCCCTGCTTTTATGAGATCTGACCAGAAAACACAGCTGAGCATTAAATTAATGAGCCGTAAAAGTTGACTGCAGCCACTGGACAGAGTTGTGAAAGGAACCCTTTCTAATAGTACAGTGGTACCTCGGGTTACATATGCTTCAGGTTACAGACGCTTCAGGTTACAGACTCTGCTAACCCAGAAATAGTACCTCGGGTTAAGAACTTTGCTTCAGGATGAGAACAAAAATCGTGCTCCAGTGGCGTGGCGGCAGCAGGAGGCCCCATTAGCTAAAGTGGTGCTTCAGGTTAAGAACAGTTTCAGGTTAAGAACAGACCTCCGGAACGAATTAAGTACTTAACCCGAGGTACCACTGTACTGCATGTCTCTAAGGCCTTTGGGAAACATCATGTTCCAATCTGAACACATAGAACATGCATGATCCAGAAACTGCTGCCTTCTATTTTCATATGTTTAAAAGTTTAGGAAAGATTACCTGGAGCTCGTCCATCCATGTCATCCATGCAATCTCTGTAGTTTGTTGCAATGAGTTTATACAAGTGGGTTAAGTCTGGGTTTTCCCCAGCTGCTGCCAAGGCTTCAGCAGTAGCCAGGTGCATGACGGTGTCGTCGCTGACCCTCCAGCCTGCCACGTTGAGCTTGTTCAGGCCGCCCATTTTGGCCAACTCGCTGTGAATCTTCTCACCGCTGCGCACGAACTCCCATTTTTTATTGTAATAGCCCAAGGCGTCTCCAACGGCACTCAGCACCATGGCAGCCTCATAGTTCTCTTGCAGGCCCGAACACATGTTCTGTCCTCATGCAAAACAATAGTTTTCAATCAATAAAGCCTCTGATGAAAAACAGGTTAAAACTGCAATGTGGTCAAAATGTCTAAGAAAATCAACCTATAGTACACAAAGAGCAGGGATCCTGTTAAATATATTTGGTCCCTGCCTGTCTCTATAAATTCAGTCTCGTTCATGCTTGTGAGTGCTTGATATACATCCTTCAAAATCCTAGAAAGATCAAGCCTCAATCCTGCTCTCCCTACATATGTTTGATCCTATGAACAGTGCTCATGCACTGTCTGCATGATCAAACACCTGTACACACACTGCAGATGTGCAAACGAATGTGCATACGTCCAAGGGCAGGACTTACCATTGCGGTCCTGCTCCAGCTTAGGCCTGCTCCCATTATGTGTATACTTCCGGGTTTCGCCACACGCGCAGAAGCACTCTCTCGCACTTCGCGCTTGCGCAGAAGCACTGCTCTAGCTGCGAACTTTTCAGGGTGTGAGCGTTTTGATCATGTGAACAGTGCTGTAGATGTAACCTGCCACCTAAGTCTGCCTGCAGGACATATACATTAAAAAGGTAACTTCTGAAAACAATTGGTATATATGCACGCACACACTAGCTTTTAAACAGTATTTTAAATAAATCAATAAGCTTTCAAATGACCCAAGAAGTCACTCCTACAGATAAAGGAGAAGGAACTTTCTGATTCATTTTGGAGTCGTTTCTGGGACTTCCTTTGGGGGTGGGTTGTCACTCTATATTTTCTCTCAAGACTCCACTAATGAAGAAGGCCTGCCTACTTTATTTTGAAGCAACTTCCTGGTTCATTTTGAAGCTAGTTTCTTTTGATTTCCTGGTAGAAAAGCAATAGTCGCTCAGGTAAAATAACGGAGAAATCCAAGATTGTACTGCAGCAATGACTGGGCAAAAGTCACCCAAAATTAAAAGGTAGCAGCAATGATAGAAGTGCATGTGCTTTCTAATACGGGTTTAAAGGTAAAGGGACCCCTGACCGTTAGGCCCAGTCGTGACTGACTCTGGGGTTGCGGCGCTCATCTCGCTTTATTGGCCGAGGGAGCCGGCGTACAGCTTCCGGGTCATGTGGTCAGCATGACTAAGCCGCTTCTGGTGAACCAGAGCAGCGCACGGAAACGCCGTTTACCTTCCCGTCGGAGCAGTACCTATTTATCTACTTGCACTTTGACGTGATTTCGAACTGCTAGGTTGGCAGAAGCAGGGACCAAGCGGCGGGAGCTCACCCCGTCGCGGGGATTCGAACCGCTGACCTTCTGATCGGCAAGTCCTAGGCTCTGTGGTTTAACCCGCAGCGCCACCCGCGTCCCTAATAAGGGTTTAGTTTTATGCAATTTTTTTTTTAAATCTGATTTTTTTTTAATCTGCAGAAGCATTAAATAATTCCCTGATAATGCGAATGTGAATCCAGTGGAACCTCGGGTTACGTTATCCTCGGGTAACGTAAACTTCAGGTTGCGAAAGCGGCAAACCTGGAAGTGTTTCGCAGCTCATGCAGGCGCAGAAGCGCTCTACACAGAACAGACACCTCTGGTTGCAAAATCCTCAGGATATGGCTGGACCTCCGGAACAGATGCTGTTCACAACCGGGGGTACGTTGTTCTACTAATGTTGTTCTGAGGAAGGGCACAGAACATTTGACAACCCTGCAGGGTAATCAAAGGCTGTTACCTAATCTCTTGCTGTTGGGTTGTTGTTGTTTAATGAAAATGCAGTTGTGGGACAGTTAGATTGGTTTTAGTAGCAACATGGAGAGGAGGGGAGAGTGATTCATTGCTTTCCCACTCATGGAGAAAAAATTGGGGGATTTCTGGCGGTGAGTTGCTGCTGGTGGTACAATCACTAAAATCAACATAATCATGTTAAAGGCTCACATTCCTTTTCTTGCTCCTAAAGGAAAGGAGAAAGGGCAGAATATCTACATCACTGTAGATATTGTGAGGTATGAAATACCTGCCATAAATGTTCTAAGCATGCTTCTGAACAATTCCATATTGGATTTTCCTAAACATGGTCACCTGCCTTTTGGTTACAGTAGACTGTAAGTATCTTTTGACACAGACCACCCCCCACCCCCACTGCCATCTAAAATACCACACCCGGTCTTGCACGGACTCTGGCAGCATTGCCACCGATTAAAGGTTTGTCTATCCGGTTTATATATCTCATGAAACTTGCATTCCTTGACTGTCTTAGGGTTGCCGTTGCGGGGCTCCGGGGCTCTTGCGCTTTTAACAGCAGTCAAAGGTTCAACAGGTTAAATAAACCTTTGCCAGTCGGGAAATGCAATTATGGGGAAAGTGTCACCTGTCAACATCCTGTGCCTCAGACATCATACAGTGTTATTTGCATGCAGCCCCCGATATATTGGGGGTGTGGAGGGAAACTCCGCTCGGCCCACAAGCGGTTACCAACCTGCATGTGATATAATGCTCCCCCCTTTTTTTGTTTTTTTGCTTTTTTTTGCAAGAGGGCCCAATTCACACAGTATGTGTGGGGCTGCTTCTTGGGAGAAAGGTGCCTAAGCTTGAAAAGCCTGGCTGCCATCTTAGGCGAGCTGCCTTGTTCTAGCTGGCCCTGTCACGCTTCCTTGTCTTATTCTGGCGGCTGTGGTGGTTAAATCCGGCTGCTCTGGGTAGAAATGAATAGCATTCCGCGACCATTTCCTGCCCTCTTCCGAGCAGGCAGCAGCTGCGCTTCCTCACGCCCCGTCGATTCCCAGCAGAAGGGCGTACACCGCCCCTGAAAGATGACTCCACCCCCAGCGCCCTGGGCTCGCCGCTTGACCCCTTCCTCATAATGCCCGGGTTTTAAAAAGGAGGAAAAAACAAGGAGTTTCCCTTCCCACTCTACGCAAACTCCAGCCCCAGAGGCTGCTTCTGTTCGGACCTCCGAGTGCTTTCGGCTTCTCGAGGGCTTGTCTCTCTCAGGGTGGATGGAAAAAAGCGGGGAATGGACTTCCTTCTGAGCTAAGGGAGACGCCTCAGCCCGCGCCACCCATCCTTAGCGACGGTTGCCAATGCAATGCAAAGCAAACTTCGGAGTTAAGTCAACCCCCCTCAAAGAAGCGGGATCCGCCGAGGCGCAAAGTGGAAACTTCCCGGGTTTGGGAGATGCGCGCTTGGTTTGCCGTGACTCAGGCTGCACGGGCGTAGCTGGGGGGGGGGGGCAGCTGCCCGCCCCTCAATCAAGTCAATAAATAAAAACTAAAAGTAGAAATTGTAGAAAGATTTTGACAGATTTTTTTCTGAGTACTTGGGGTCAAAAGAAAGCAATTTTAAACAACCGTTGTTGACCGAGTCCTTTCGAATCTGCTAGACAGAGCCAGACAGAGGACGATGACAAGTCGGTGTCCAGCACCCCCCCCCCCCAATAAATCCAAGGCTGCGATCCTAAGCACACCGCGCAATCTGGCCTCTGCTCAGAAGCAAGACCTGTTCAGTTCAACGCCCCCCTCCACCCCCACTGTCAGGTGGGCGGGTTTGGGATTGCAGGCCGTTACCCGGCGGCTCCACGCTGTGGGGTGGAACTGGGGGGGGGGGGCTTATCCACTGGGTTTTCCTTACTCCGAGGCTACTACAACTCTGTGCCCTTGTAGCGGGCCCTGCTTGCGAGTAAGCGCTCCCTGGGGGTTGGGGGGTTGCCGGGTTAAACCGGCCGTCTGATGCCTAGCCTGGATTGGGAGGGAAGAGCTTCTGCGCTTCGCGGGCCTTACTTCCGAGAAAGAACAGAATCGGGCGCTGCACGCTGCCGCCAGCACCAAGCGGCAGAAGCACAAGCCCAGGCGGGCGCCCCCTGAGTTGGGTCGGCTTTGCAAGCTCCCAAACATGGATTTGCTCGCCGCGCGAAAGATACTTGCAGTTGAGTTTTACCGGCGATGCAGGCAGAAGCCCGGGCAGGAAACCCCCTTAAAGGAAAGTGAAAGGGGAGGAGAGGCAGGACTTGCGCCCAAGCCGCGCAGAAACAGAAACAGCAGCCGCCGCAGCCAATCTCCGAGCGCCGGTCGTCCCCCTGACTAAGTAGCTGGCCTGCGCTCCTTCGTCAGCGGCGAGTGAACTGGAGAGAAGCTACTTTGGGAGAGAGCGCGGGCGAAGAGGAGGGCCCATCCTAATCATGTGATCGCTTCTTCGGGGCTGGATTGCAAGCAGCGAGCGGGGGGGAAGATGCCGCTAATCTGTCGGTCAACAAACGCGCGACTACACGCCGTGTGGAAGCGGATTTAAGAGTGAAAATCTGAGTAGGGAAGCGTCCCTCTTCGAGGCTGTACGATTTAAAACGCAGGGTCTCTCTCTCTCTCTCTCTCTCTCTCTCGCACACACAACTGTAAATTAGAATCAACGCTCAATACTTATTTATTAAATGTATATGTCGCCCGTCACCCGAGGATCACAGCGCGGATGACAGTATAAAAAAACAAAATAGGTACATTACATAATAACAAACAGAAACGGTGACTTCCCTTCCACTCCCGCCCCGTAGAATCTGATGGGATAGATTCATAGCTGTCAACTTACAGATTTGAAAATAAGGGACCAGCAGCCTCGAAAATAAGGGATCAGCAGCCAAAATAAGGGATTTTGGCTTAGTTTATACAGAAATCCCGCACTCGTGCTGCTTTTGCTGTGACTGTGTTTTGCAGGGGGTTGGACTAGATCATCCTAAGGGTCTACAACTCCGACCAAAGAAGAGGGGCAGACAAAACTGATGAAGGAGGTCGAGATGGCAAAGCTTACAGGCAGAATTAGAAACCAGGAAGAGGACCTCTTTATAAAGAAGGGGGAAAGTATATAATTTATTTGAAAAGCTATTGTAAAGAGTTACATACATTGGTAGGATTGACAGAAAACTTGTAGTAAAAATTTGAACTATAGATGGATAAATGATTTATAAAAATAGAGTTATGAAAGGGATGCAGAGGGGGAAATCACTACATTAAGATGCTGCACTGGTTGGAGGGTATGCTAAGCAGCACGTTGGGGCTGCTGTCATCCTGGCGCGAGGAGTTCCATCGGCCCTTCCCCGCGCAAGAGAGAGGGAGAGAGACTCTCGCCCATGCCACCTGCGAGCCTGGCATGAGGCGGTTGCGGCACGGCGGTGGCCACTGAAGCACCACCCTTCTGCGTCCCTTCCCATCCCCTCCTCTTCCTCCTCCCTCAGGCCGCCTCCTCAGCCGCCACCACTACTGCCACCTCCAGCTTCCCCTGGCAGCACAGCGAAAGTCTCGCAAGAGAGGGGCTGCCTGCCCACCCGCCCGCCCGCCACCACCCGTCTCCTCACGATGCTCCCTTGAGGGGGAAAAGGGAGAGATGGAGACATGGCAGCTCGTGCACGCTCTCTCACGCAGCGGAGAACCCCGAGCCGCTGCTTCCCTCCTGAGCCGGGTGAGCATGAAACCCGGGAAATTTAAGGGACATCATCAATCCAGGACAGCAGCAGGAAACAGCGCTGGGATAAGGGAGTTTCCCGCCAAATAAGGGACGGTTGACAACTATGGATAGATTGTAGTCAACAAAAACTTCTGCCTCAGCTCAGCAGATGGTGTTAGACTTTAAAGTGCCAGGACACATGTGGTGGTTGCGTTTTGTGTAGGGGAGTCATAGGGCTACCCCACTGAAAACTGAATTCCGAGCCTAGAACTGCGTGGTAGGTAAGGTTGGGCATGGTAGGTGCCATTGAACTCACTGGGGCCAATGTTTGAGTAAATGTGGGTGGTGGGGTTGTGTGAGCCGACTCTGAGAGCTGTCTTGTTTACGCAGCTGGATGTTACCTGTGCTGTGTGTGGAAATGTGGACCGGATTCCTAGACAAGCACTGCTACTACAGATGAGGCTCCTTGTAATGCTAGACAACACTTGAGCATGCACTTGTGTGCTTCCTGGGATACATCATGTCTACCGAAACCTATTGAACTTTCGGCAAGCAGAATGTACATGTGAAACTGCTCTGAGCCAGTCTGAACCTAGTCAAGAAAACCGTGGCTTGAATCTCCTGTGTTTTGCAGAATTACAAAATGAAGCTACAAAGGATCCAGTGCATTGCATTTTCAAAAGGTCTTTGAAATTTTAACATTAATATTAAGTGCAGCTTTGCAAGCCACACTACCACACCATTTCATAGGGCTTTGTAGGTCCAACATAAAATACTGAAAAATCCCACTGGCAATTTTAAGTCTTCCTCTCTGTCTGTCTCTTTCCACTATCACTGAAGTTTTGAACATAATATATGTGCTGTGCACTGTGCATTTTCCATGTGTCTTCCCCCCTTGAGATTTCACTTTGTTACAACAGCATCCTAGAAATGGATGTTTGTGTACCTAGAAAAACACCATTTTCCCCCATCCCAAGATACCAAGGGAATGCATTGGTTTTGTGCTTGCATAAGAGACACTTTATTATTTTCTCTGGTAACATTTCCTGGGAGGCTGCCACATCTTCATTTTTTGCCACCTTGCTCCATACTGTATTTTGCAGTTAGGAGAATCAGAAAGTACTGGTGAATGTCACAAGAGGAACAGATACAGGTGGGTCATTTTACTCAGTACAGTGGTACCTCGGGTTAAGAACTTAATTCGTTCCAGAGGTCCATTCTTAACCTGAAACTGTTCTTAACCTGAAGCACCGCTTTAGCTAATGGGGACTCCCGCTGCCGCCGCACCACCGGAGCACAATTTCTGTTCTCATCCTGAAGCAAAGTTCTTAACCCGAGGTACTATTTCTGGGTTAGCAGAGTCTGTAACCTGAAGCGTCTGTAACCTGAAGCGTATGTAACCCGAGGTACCAACATAGTTTTAGAAATCCTTCATAGCAGTGGAGGCTGTTCCACTGCCTACTGGGGCACAGCCCTCCCAAGGAGAAGGTCAAGCAATTTGTGTTTTTGTTTTTTTTCCTCCTAGGATCTTAAAGCCACACCCTCTTTGCTGTTCCACATGCATGTTATGCTTCTATTAGAACTCTCTACAAACATGTCTGTCAATCAAGTCTCTGCAGCATTCAGCAAACCCTAATCCAAAAGTACAGCTATCGCCAAGAGGATACCCCACCCCTCAGGTTTCTGAGCAGAAAAGCTATGTGAAAGTTTTAGTATCAGTAAGACTGCCAGTTTCAGCCCCAGTTGTGCAGGTTTCACCTGCCTCTTGTTATAAGAAAACTCCAGCAACTCTGTAAGATAAGGGAGGGCTGTTTTATGATCAGCCCTGAGTATACACAGAATTGTTTCCTTATAGGCCGCGCCTCCAAATAGCTCACAGTCATTCTTTGTAGCTAGCAAAGAGAAAGGTGTGGTTGCAAGTTTAAGTAACTTATTTTTTCATTCATGTTTCTTAAGAGAGATCGATGGACGGAGAGTGTGAGTATATTTTTGTAATATTGATTTTTATTTAATCATTTGCAATTATTTTTGTGACCGGGAAGGAGGATTGGGAGGTAAAGTGGTGGGGAACTTCTGTGTGTGTGTTAACTGGAGCTGTAGGGTTTGTGTGTGTGTATTATGTCTTTATTTCATAAAATGTATACACTGCTTGATTGTAAAAAACAAACAACCCTCAAAGCGGTTTACAAAATATAAAACAGTTAAAATACTGAAACAGATTTAATATACCTCAACTTCCTTAGCATGTGGGTAGATTTGTTTAAACAGGAATGTTTTTAGCAGGGGCTTAAAAGAGTCCAGTGAAGGATCCTGCTTGATTTCAGTAGGCAGGGACTTCCAAAGTGCAGGTGCTGCCACAGTGAACAATTAAGTTCTTACAAATGCAGAAAGAGTATTATGTGGCACCTGTAGTAGTGCCAGTACTGTCAATTGAAGCCGTTGACTGGCCACATGTGGGGTACGGCAATCTTGTAGGTAAACTGGTCTCAAGTTTGTTACGGGCTTTATATGCTAATAGTAACACCTTGAACTTGGCCCAGTAGCAAATTGGCAACCAATGCAGATCTCTGAGCACAGGTGTTACATGCTGACAGGGCCTCACTCCTGGGGCAGCTGTCTACCAGCTCCATCTGGTATGCAGGCTGAGACCCTACCTGCCCGCAGACTGTCTCGCTAGAGTGGTGCATGCTCTACGTATCTCCTGCTTGGACTACTACAATGTGCTCTACGTGGGGCTACCTTTGAAGGTGACCCAGAAACTACAATTAATCCAGAAAACAGCAGCTAGAATGGTGACAGGAAGTGGCCACCAAGACCATATAACACCAGTCCTGAAAGACCTACATTGGCTCCCAGTATGTTTCCGAGCACAATTCAAAGTGTTTAAAGCCCTAAACAGCCTCAGCCCAGTATACCTGAAGGAGCGTCTCCATCCTTATCGTTCAGCTTGGACACTGCGGTTCAGCTCCGAGGGCCTTCTGGTGCTTCCCTCACTGCGAGAAGTGAGGTTACAGGGAACCAGGCAGAGGGCCTTCTCAGTAGTAGCGTCCACCCTGTGGAACATCCTCCCATCAGATGTCAAGGAAATAAACAACTATCTGACTTTTAGAAGACATCTGAAGGCAGCCCTGTTTGGGGAAGTTTTTAATGTTTGAGGTTTTATCGTGTTTTTAATATTCTGTTGGGAGCTGCCCAGAGTAGCTGGGGAAACCCAGCCTGATGGGTGGGGTATAAATAATAAATTATTATTATTATTATTATTACAGTCATACCTCTTCATGTTGCGGATTTTCGGGTTGCGAACGCGGCAAACCCGGATGTGTATACTTCTGGGTTTCGCCACACACGCAGAAGCACTCTCTTGCGCTTCGCGCTTGCGCAGAAACACCGCTCTAGTTGTGGGCTTTTCGGGATGCAAACAGCACCCTGGAACGGATTGTGTCCGCAACTAGAGGTACCACTGTATTATTAATTGCAGCTTTAGAATCATGCACATAGAGTGCATTGCAGTAATCAAGACTTGAAGTAACTAGCACATGAGCTACTGTGGCAATGCTTTCCTGGTCTAGCAGTGGCCGTAGCTGTTAAACCAGCTGCAGTTGGTAAAAGGCACTTCTAGTCACTGAGGCTACCTGAGCTTCCAGTGACAGAGCGGGATCCAGGAGCACCCCCAAATTGAGAACCTTCTCCTTCAGAGGAAGTGCAACCCCGTGCAGGGAAGGCAACTGGCCAATTTCTCAGGCATGGGAACTTCTGACCCGCAGT